TTTTTTGTACATCATTCTACATTTGTAAGTTCAACTTTCATGATAAAGAGATTGCATTACAGTACTTGTATGAGGTGAATTGAAATATACTATTTATTTTGTTTTTAACCGCATAAATATTTGCAATAAAAATAAATATAACAGTGCAATCCATAGTAATTTTTTTAATCGCTTGACAGCCCTACTTTTTTGCTTTTCACTCATGTTGAACAATCTCATTGTAGTTTTTAATCAGTTTCACATTCTCATTTGCACGCATTTGCAAAAGGCTCTTGGCTTTAGGTTACAACCCTGCTAGGGAAAGTTTAATTCCACAGGAAAACCCTGTCTGCACGGGAAGTAAAGAAAGGCAGTATGGAAACCATTCTACTCACTTTAAATTGTTTAAAACCTTGGTTTTGTAAACCCTAATTGTGGGGCCCAAACTGACCTGTCTGAGAAGGAATTGAATTTGGCAAAGAAAATCAGAGGGAAGGAACACAATACATATTTAAAATAAAAACAAATGTTGGAAGGGTGTAACCTGCCTTAGCAGAGGAAGCAAGTAGGGATTGGGTTTGGAATGAAATGTTTTCAGTTGACATTAATTTGCATTGTTTTGGTTATAAAATAGCAAGCCGTTAAAGCGTGGCTCTGCTCTGAATAGAGACTGTAATGATAGAGGCATCGGGCTTCACGTTTATTGTCTAAGGGCTTCTCTCTATACAAAGCGACAAAGAGTCCTGTGGCACCTTATAGACTAACAGACGTATCGGAGCATGAGCTTTCGTGGGTGAATACCCACTTCGTCAGATGCATGTCGTGGAAGTTTCCAGAGGCAGGTATAAACATGCAGGCAAGAATCAGTCTAGAGATAACGAAGTTAGTTCAATCAGGGAGGATGAGGCCTTCTTCTAGCAGTTGAGGTGTGAACACCAAGGGAGGAGAAACTGCTTTTGTAGTTGGCTGGCCAACTACAATATACTCTATAGACAGTATTTGTCCAGTGCAAAGCCCTAACATGGACGCCCTTCTCCCAGTGTAAACCACCTTCTATTGGTTTGCAAGCTAAACTCATAGAACGAATATTGCACTGGATTAAGCCTGTCTATCCAAGCTACGGGTTTGCACCCATTTACCTTAACTGGTTTTTAAATGATTTGATTGAATCTGTGCACGGCCCAGTTCTCAGGCTCTAGATCAAATGGGCCAGCCTGAGATCTGACAATCTCTCAGGGCTCTTTTCTTCTCCTCCCCAAGTGACACCTTGTCAGTGGGTTTGCTCGGGTGTAGCCTGTTCCGATTTTATACCCAAGTCTCTGGATGACGCACAAGGAGAAGAATCCCGCTGTCTCCTTTTTAGCTGTGTTAGCTTGGAGATACCGACCGGTAAAAACAATCAAAAAGGATGAGTTACTGAAGTGTGCAACTCTGACTGAGAACCACAAAGGGCCAGATTCTCAGTAACGTTCCAGCCCCTCAGCAAAGGGTCCAGGAAACATTTGGATCTGCCCACCTGAGACTTGCCCAGGCGCGAGGGAGCTCTCGGCAGGCAGGCAGCCAGCGTAGCCCGTCACTGAGCCACCCCTCACGTGCAGAGTGAAGAGGGTGCATGGTCAGGGATGTGCGTTTCTATATGGTCGCACAGGGACTATAGCCAGCTGGCACAGATTAGAGCAGCCCCTAGGCTGCTGTAACCTACATCAGGGCGCAGGGTAGTATACTCACTTCTGTGCCAAACAGGAACAGAAAATGCAGCCCAAGGAGCAGATCAGCTAAGAAGGGGCCATTCCAGAGAGTCACTCTTTAGAGTGGAACGATGTATTAAAACGACACAGATTTCTTCTCCCACATTCATGGGAGAATTCCAGCAGATGCACAACGGAGGCATAACTCATATCGTTTCTGTAGGTTGTATAAAACTATCAAAGATCTGTTCAAAGTCCTTTCCCTCTCTGTGGTGATCAAGATCAAGGGAACACTAGGTGTTCATTACAACCGATGTTCATTTATAGACTTTAATAACCTCTGTAAATGCTGTGCAAACAAAGATCTCTGTACCCAGGCTGTCTGCCTATGCAGGGCACAGGGATCCGCTCCAAAGTTCACTCTATCCCAGAAAGCAAACAAGGCTCCCAAAGAACAACACACCTGCTACATTCATAGCTCGGAGGCCCAGGGCTTCTGGGTTTAAGCAAACTCTGCAGAGCTGCTACACAGCCATCGCCTATGCGTGGCCCGGTGGGGAGGATTCCTCCCACAGGGCCAGATTCTCTTCTGCATCCAGCTTATGTTGGGTACAGCAGCAGTGGGAGCTGTCAAGGAGCCAACAACCTGATCCTCGGCCCAGGCCCATTTTAGTGCAGCCCACTGGTTGTGGCTCCCTAGAGACTATACACCCTCTGGGGATTTGAGCTCTTGCCACTCTCCCTGCCTGCCCCTCCTTGCTACTGACATGGCTTCGGCACTGGGGGCTCCAGGGAGGACAGCTGTACCAGCTCTGCCTACCGGCAACTCCTCCAGCTGGGGAGTTCCTGGCGGTTTCTGCTCCCATTGCACTGCTTGGGCGCTGAAAAAGAGAACCGCAGACCAGAGACTTTGGCCTGAGACATGTATTCTCTCAGCGATGGGCTGCTTGGCTGATTAGCAGGTGCTGAGCTGAGACTCCCGAAGGACGAGCTAAAAACATTTGTTGTTCTGAAGAAAGCGTAAAACGTGTCCCTGGAAAAAGATTTGCTGCGTGGAGCTTCTTATGCTACTAAAGAGACTGAGAACAGGGTCACAGCCACTGGCCCTGTGCATTCCCAAGGGCGCTCTCACATCCTGTCCAGCCCAGCCACTCCTGGCAAACAGCCAAACCGATTCGGGGGGAGGGCGGGGGCACCGGGTATGTTTATTTCTCTGTGTTTACGGATGCCTCCTCTTCCCCAGATTTTCTGACTGAAGATGATATTTACTGCTGCTGCCTCTCCAAGACACTGCTGCACACCTCTACGCCCGTGACCATCGGCTTCTACTGTCCCGTTGGGAGCCGTTTTAATTCGCTGCTTGATAAAATAACAGGTGGGCTCAGGGATGCTTTGGGGTTTCCCCAGGCAGGAGAACTGGCGCTTTCAGACAGGCTAGAATACCTAGGAGGCGCTGGGTGGAGCATGGCAGACTGGCACAAGACAGGCTGCTGGGAGAGAGAGAGAGGAACGCCAATATTCTCCCGCCTGGCCCGGCAGTGAAGGGGTGTGACCTGTACCTGGTCCATGGCAGGGCGCTGCGAGTGCTATGGGATGCCAGCTCCTAGGTGTCTGGTAGCATGCTCGGAGGCAAGTGCAGTGAGTGATCCAAGCAAGGGGCTCTACAGGCCTCAGGGGGTTCCCCAGACTGTGTGCATGCTGCGAGTCAGACTCTGGACTCTGGGCACAAAGGGGCTATTGCCCTGGGCACGGTGGCTTTACCATACAAATGAAACACGATAAACTCAGCCCCTGCCAGGCCCCAGCACAGTCCCTTGCGGCTTCCACCACAGTCCTTTTCCCTGATGCCCTCCTCCTGCTCAGAGCTGGCCTCTGCATCCTGCTGCAGCTACTGCTGGGCGCGGGCCCCTGTTGCCTAGCCCCCATGTCCTCCAGTCCCATCTCCCATGCTGTAGGTTACCCAGCCATTTCCTTCATGAGCAGCTGCTCCCTGCTCTACACAGTCGCCAGCCCCCTCTTCAGCCCAGCTCCCCCCGCACTCCCGACCCTTCCCATCCTTTGGAGATTATGGAGCCCTCTGATGGGCAAACGGTCAACAACGGGTTAACACAGTAGTGTCCAGTCATGGGTGGCGGGTGAACCAGCTGTTGGGGCAGGCTAGCTCCCGGCCCCTCCCCTTCTGCCTGAGGCCCCTCCCCCTCCTCTCCTGCCCTCCCTCCCCCACTGGAGCCCAGAGCACTCCACTGTGGATGTGCCCTCCCCCCACCCCCCAGCCCTGGGCCATCTGAGCGCCCGCAGCCCCAGAGCGCTAGGGGCATCCCCAGAGCCCACAGCCCCGGAGTGCTGGGTGGGTGGCACATGGGCGGGGCCACACTGGGCTGTTCGGGGAGACTCAGCCCCCGCCCCCCAGCCTATATAG